GGGATAAACAATATGATTGCATGCGCAATGCAAACTTCATTGGTAATATATAAAATGTACTGTATATGAACAAAAATGAGTAGACCATTTATAATTGAGTTTCTATATGCATTTATGGATATATGATAGTTTAATTGTTTAAACTAGAACAGGATTGTATTATATTGATTGTAATTGAAAGCAATGAAATTTTAAAATTTAAAATAAAATCAATTAAATTTTCAGATCTGTTTAGATTTATTTCAGTATTTAAGAAAGTCAAATTTGGAGGAATAATGTAGTGTAGTTGAAGTGTAGATTTGGCTGACAACCCAGACCATGCAAGTGTATTGTCTAATCTATGAGAAAATATATATCTTTAAATAATTATTAAATATGTAATAATTACTCCCTTGCTGAGACAAAAAGGTAAAAGAAAATTAGCCTTCATAACACACTTTCTTATGTAGGTTAATGTTATTTTATTCTTTTGTTGATGTAGAACATGTAGCTGGCCTGCACACAGTTGCCTAAAATTGAGTCAAACTAACACACTGCTGTTATACTACACCAATTTGTTTGTGTTGACATACAGTCATATCAACCTTAATCTAATAAAAAAAGGTTTAAGTTTCATGTTTGCTAATGTTTTAAACACGTATTTAACATAGATACCTTTTCATGGTGTCGCGTTTGGTTGGGTGTAATAAAGTTCTGGAGGCTTAAAATAACACTGTACTGCCTCCCTCTACTAGACACAACAGGAACAACAGGGGCGTAAAACTGCTTGGGCCGTAGATCTGTCTAGATCCAAGTCTGCAGCCTCCCCCTACTCACCTGGGCTGAATATAAATCTAAAACGATTAAATTACGAATTAATTTGTTAAAGGTTTAATGTCCCAGTCTTTGGAAGGTGTGAAAATGCATCAACAGTTTATGGGCTCTGATTATGATTATTTTTACACTTAGCGAGCTGTCAATTGGCAATGAAATAAAGACTTTTGATTTCAGTCAGGTAGGCTATACAAACGTTACATTAAGTTTCTTTTTTTAACCACAGACCTATGGAATTGTGCTTTAGATGCCATCTTGTGGTCAAATGTGTGTACTGCATTATGAGATTTTCTAGCTTTTGATTATACCCTGGTTGCAGACACGTTATTACTTTACATTGTGGGGTTGATTGAGTACACTATATAACATATGCTATAGTTTCGGACACTACTAAAATGTCTGCTTTAAAAAATAGTGCACTTAATCTCCATTTAAGTATAAAGGGGGCGATTTCAGATACAGCCCAGGAGTGAAAGAGTGAGTGATACTACAGTTGATCCACTTGATGGCGACATTTATAAGATAAATAATTTTCGTTTAACTGCAGATCAGTGAAGAAAGATTTAAATATTAATAAAATGACCCAACTTTAGATCTTTGAAATATACAGCCAGTGTTTATTCAACAGTACCTTTTTAAAAGAATTGAATTAACACACTTGGATTACAATCCGGGTTATTATTATTATTATTATTATTATTATTATTATTATTATTATTATTATTATGTGTATTTAAAGATGCTTTAACCCTTAATCAAACCTAATTAATTCATGTTATCGACTTAAAAATTAATGTTATAGACTCAGCCTCTAAAGTTGTCATAATTTCCAAGTAAAAGTGACGACACCTCTGGATTTAGTACTTAAGAAAATACTGGTTTGTTCATCATCTCATGGTCACCAAGCATCACATACTCTACATGAGCCACCTCATCAGCTTTCTGTAAAATAAAAGAATAAAGAAAGGAAAACATCATAATTTAGTGAAGACTTGAATTTTTGCACAATAATATTTTTTGCATAATAATAATGCACACATCTACTTCATTGCTAAAATTATGCAACTAACTCCTAAATTGGTAGTAAATGATCTTACCCATGATTGTGAGTTTCTTTCACAGAACGATGGCTGATGTGAAATAACTGCTAAAGTGAGCTCATCTTTATTCGGCTGAACTGTTTCAACAACAAAAATGGATTTTAAATGGCAAAACTCAGCTAGTTCAGTCGTCACAACATACAGTGTGTGCTATTTTATTACATGTATACTACAGGTCGGTTGAATAATTGATTCTGATTGGCTAATGATAAACATTCTAAGCTGCTGTGTAATAATAATTCCATTTATATAGCGCTTAGACACTCAAAGCCATATACACATTAGAGGGAATCTCCTCATCCACCACCAGTGTACAGCATCCACCTGGATGATGCGACGGCAGCCATATGGTTCCAGATCGCACACCACACATCAGCTGATTGGTGGAGAGGAGACAGAGGGATGAAACCAATTATGATCTGGGAATAGTTAGGAGGCCATAATGGGCAGAGGCCAGTGGCAAATTTTGGCCAGAACGCCAGTGTTCTGACGATCGTGTTACCACCCAAGAATGTGCTACCGATAGCTCAATCTGTCATATTTCATCTAAAAGGGTCTTTATCTTTTCAGCTTCAAATGTCAGAATGAACTACCTCCTTAACGAAAGTGTATATAAACAGGGTTAGCACATTTTGTCAGCTTTAAATGTCAATCGGAATGAACTACCACTCTAATAAACAAATTAAATATAAAACTAAGAAAATAAAAAAAATAATTAAGGCAGTAGTTACCTCTGATAAACATTTGAAGTTGCTACGCCTTTTTCAACATTGTTCGACAGAGTAGTAGTAAATTTCGATGGATATTTGAAGCTGACAATATGTGCTACCCCTGTTTTTACATACTTATTTAATGTGCTAGTTCATTCTGATAGACATTTGAATGATGTGCTAACCCTGATTTGGTGAAACATGACAGATTAAGCTACCGGTAGCACATTCTGAGGAGGTACAGATCGCCAGACCACCGGGGTAGAAGTAGTAGGTAGAAGGTAGTAGACCACCCTACTTTTTTTTTCAAAGTGATTTTATAAAAGAGTAGGGACCTCAGTTTAACATCTCATATGAAAGATGGTGCATAAAGTCAATATACTGGGGCATTAGGACCCACACAGACAGTTATTTCACAGCTACAACACATCAAAACACAACAGAAGGCTTTGGATGAGATGTGAAAGAAGCTAGTCCTATACACAGGAGCAGATTGAGTACAAAAACCTGGCAAATGTCCTAAATACAACGTCTGAACACTATCTTTAGCTGTGGGGACGAGAACAACTGGAATAATTTACTCAAATCTGTTGTTATTGGAAAATAATGCCTTGAATCTGCTTCATATCATGTCTATCACCACCGTGCTTGTGCATTATTTTAGTAATAATTCCATGGTCTGTCATCAATTATTCCTTACATTTTGATAATAAAATGGCATTAATTAAATTTGACATTAGCACATTTTTATACTTGAATATAAAACATTTACCATAGTAGAGTAAAATGTTTAACACATAATCAGTATTTTGTGTGTGTGATCAGCAAATAGGTAAGCTCCAGGGCCCGGTTTTTCAAAAGGTTTAATCTGGATAAAACTGATCCGGATTTAGTAATCCTGTTTTTGCGATCCGTGATCACGTAATCCAGCTTACTTTTTGAGCCAGTTTTTCGAAGCAACATTGGATTGGATCAATCTGATCCGGATAGGAACTTTTCAGGATCACTAAATCTGGATTACCAGTGCTCAAACACAATGTAGATGGATAGACAGGCCTATGAAAAGAGCAACAAGTAGAATAGCCAGTGTGGGGTAAATATAACTTTATTTTTATTAGAAATGAAAACACACACTTAAAAAAAAAAACAATAAAAAGCCCACCCCATCCTGTTCCAGCAGTCCGTTTATCTGAGACCTACAACACAAACACTGTACATTGAGGTATTTTTAATAAGTTACAAATATAGATGTAAATAAAAAAATGTCAATGTCAAAAACTCAGACTTCCTCATCTGATGTGGAGAGAGTAGCTTGTCTGAGCAAAGCCTTTAGGAGGTGAATCTCAAATGTGGTCTTGGTTTGCTGCAGTTTGGTCAGAGTAAGTTGTTCCTCGGCCAGATGAAGCTGTGCTTCTGCCCTTTCAGTCTCTTTTTGCAGTTGTTGAAGGTGATTTCAAAAATCAGTGATTGCCATTCTTTGCATTTTCTTGGTTATTTTGTAATCATTGCATGCATCACTAATAAATATTCTAAAAACAAATATATTTTTTATTGTGATGAATGTATATATAAATTAGTGACAGAATAAAATGTATTGTTTCTGGTCAATTTTGACAGCTGTTTGCCGTAGGCCTATACTGAAAGCCTAAATATGTTGAAGCCAATAATCACTATAGCCTGACAGATGAACAAATAAAATTAAAACCTTATTAATAAATAGTATATCTCGTAAGATACTGCATGATCCAAAAATAGTATTATTTAATACATTTTTTAAGTTTTCATTACATTTTGGGCATAAAATCCACACTAAATCCACCCTTCTGATGGGATCAGTTTAATCCAGGTTTTTTGGATCAAAGTGATCCAAATCCTACAAAAAAGGTCTGAAAAACCCAAAGTAAAGGTTTGATCCGTATCAAAACCAAGATTAGATTACGTGATCTAATCCGATTAGGTAATCCGTTTTTTCTTTTGAAAAACCCATTTTCAAGATTTGATCCAATCCCTTATCCAAAATCCTAGTGGATTACTTTTGAAAAACCGGGCCCAGATTACATTTGTGCATATCTGTTTTCTTTCTGCATGTGGACTCGCTTTGTATCAGCCATGCTGTAGACTTAAAAACCATAGAAGGTAGGGCTTTTTCTTATTGTGCGACAATATTATTGAATGCATTATCTACAACTATCAGGAAGCTGTTTCTTTGGACTGTTTTTAAAAGCTTCTTAAGACGCATCTTTTTAGCAAAGCATTTAGCTCAGTCCCTTTTATAAAATTTCTAACATTTTGCTAATTTATCGTTTCATTATTGCGATATGACTCTGACTTCTTACAGGGATTTTATGCAAGCTTGTCATTCTTTGCATTTTTTTTCTTTTTTGTTATTGACATCTTCTGAACTATTGGTGTTTTTCATCTCCACATGATGTCGCTATTTTTCCCAGTGTTTTCTGTTTGGGTTCATTTGTGTTAATCTTGTTCAGCTGTGTCGTAGACTAGCCTATTTATTTTACCCTCTTTTCTTCACTTGTCACTTGGTTTTTGGGTTTGATGTGCTCTTGTCCCTGTGCTCTACGGAGAACTTTGTTTGTTACCTGCTTGGCTGTAGTCAGTCTTGTAGACTTCCTGTGTTTTTGGCTGGCTGCTATTTTGATGATTTTGGATTTCCTAAATAAACACCTTTTGTTGAACTAGACCTTGTACCTTAGCAACTTGGTTCATCACCTCTTCCTGTTGTTAAACGGTAGAACGTAGGTCTACCATACCAGAAACATGGGTTTGAGCCTCTGGCTCGTCACAGTTATTGTATGTTTTGTAGCGCTTTGAGGTTAAGAAAAGCGCATCATAAATAAAATTTTTCATTTGTCATCTCCATTATTAACATATTTAGGTACTTTACCTATGAAAACATACTAACTGGGATGTGTTCCTGTACATATTTTAATTAACTATATATCATATGCATAGATCAAGTATGAATTCAAAAAGAGGGCTGACCGATGAGGGGCTAAATAATAGTTTTGTCTATCAATTGATTAAAATATTTCCACATGGAAAGGTCCTAAATGAGGATATATGCATATATATGAACCTTTATGCACATATGTGTAAATGTGCCACATATAGGCAAAATTGAGATGCATATACAGGCCATATATTTTCTTTCCGTGTGGGTTTATCACTGGTTTAAGAATCATGTATGTAACACTGATGTAACACTTGCCTTTTTGATCAGAGTTTCCACATTTCCAGCAGATCCAGAAGATCCCGACTCCAACAAAAGTCATCAGAGATCCAGCAGCAGCAGATATCAAAACTATCTGAGAACCTGACACCGGAGGACCAGAAGAAATAGAAGTGAATGTGTTGGTCGGATCTATATCACAGGACAGGTCAGTAAATTAACTGCATATTGTACCTTCGCACGGCTGGCACAGTGTGTTGATGTCCAGATGTGTGGTCTGGTTGCTGATGGTGTTGTTGATCACACAGCTGTAGGTGTTGTTATCCTGATATTCCACCTCCAGAGGTAGAGAGAGACTGATGCTGAGATCAGACACACTGATGCTGGACAATACACTGTTTCCTTTGTACCAGGAGAGACTCACAGCGCTCACATTCACCACTGAACACACCACTGAATAATTATACTGGGATGATGAACACAGAGAAGAGTTGAAGATGAGGGCAGGAACAAGCAGACGTGCTGGAAAACATGAGAATAGAGATTTTCAGTACAGAGTTTGAGTGTAAATTGTTGAAGAATTTGTGAAGGATTAAAGAACTTTACTCGCCATGAACAGAAACATTGAATATTTTTGATGGCCATTTTTTTCCGCTTATATCAAGATTATAAATTCCCGCATTTTCAGATGTGATGTTTGTGATGGTCAGAGATCCAGTCTGTCTGTCCATCTTAAGTCTGTCTCTGAATCTGTCAGTGCCATCAAATGTGGAGAAGATTTGCTCCTTAATGTTGATTTTAGCTATAAGAGTGTTTTCGGCTCCAAAACTCCACAGCATGTTCTCCCAATGTATTATAGTAACACCAGAGTTTAGAGTAACAGAATCTCCTTCAGTCACTGACACAGACACTTTTACTTTCTTAGCAAGCACACCTGAAGGACAGAAACCACTTTACACTCAGATTAAGTATCTAGAGTACTCCTAATTAACAGATAAATGTATGCAAATATATTACATTAAAGGCATTGAAATGTAACAAGCCGAAAATGAAAAATCTGGTAATGTTACCAAAGACTATAGAATACACGAGACATGTCACTCGCATAGTTTTGAATAAGGAAATGTGTAACGGTCAATATGGCGAATGAAGCCCCGCCTACTAGTACAGAAGCCAATCAGCGATCGCTGTAGACTGACGATTTTTGGGGGGAGAAACTCGGACCAGACTGGGGCTTTTACATTACAACAGTTTATTGATCAACAAACACACTGGAATCTCAGTGAATACTTGAGATTGAAATTACCCTTTGCGCGATGTGATAATATCTCAATGTTTTACCCTTTAGCAGTCACAAGACTGGAAGCTCAGGTTTAAGGTAGCACTTATCACAAAGGGGCAAATAAAACTGACATTTAGCCTACAATCCTTGCACAGCCTACACTTTATCTGTTGTCTCTCTATTTTGGTAGTACCCAATTTAAATGTGAGATTTTGGAAACCAGATCTAAATTTAGCAGGAACAGTTTAATAGAAAAATATTCTAAGTGGCAAGGGGTGAACAAAGACTGAATATACAATGTGAGCGGTCTGGTGCGGAATAAAACCTAGCCAGAGCAGGATTTTAAAAAATCAGTCCTGTGCAGACCTCTGCCTTGGTTTCCTCCGGGTGCTTCAATTTTCCCAACAGTCCAAAGACATGTGTATAGATGAATTAGGTAAACAAAATTGGCCTTTTGGAGAGTGAGAGAGTGTATGGGTGTTTCCCAGTACTGCGTTGTGGCTGGAAAGGCATCTACTGTATAAAACATATTCTGGCATAGTTTGCGGTTCATTCCACTGTGGTGACACTTGATGATAAATAAGAGACTAAGCCAAGGGAAAATAAATGAACGATATTTGCAACTATCTTCATTCCTTTACTTAAATTCACAACAGACTATGCAGCACCAACATATTTTTGTTCTTTTGCTAATTTAATTTCTTCTTTTGTCGTCTTTAAGTCACTCAAGATAAAAGCATATATCAAATTTAATTTAATAGACCCTTTTCACATTTTCGTGTTTCTCAGTGGCATACTCTGTCATAGTTGGGTAAACTTAGAGTGAATGGTAAAGCACAACAAATCTTTTTTTTCTTTTTTCTTTTACAATCCTGTTTGCTGAAATAATAATAAATAAAATAAAAACGCCACAATGGTGTTATCAAGACTATCAGAAAAAAGGAAAACTGATAACTGCAGCCAGAAGACAGAATAACATCAAATTTACTGTCCTGCCTTAGACGCTGCATTAAAAACGCCTCGCGCAAGTGGCAATTCGTTTTTTCTTATTTGACACAAAGATGACATAATACATCCATAAATGCTCATTCAATCCATTAATATTTCTTCGGCATAGTCCCTTTATTAATCTGGGGTCATCACAGCAGAATGAACCGCCAACTTATCCTGCATATGTTTTAGGCAGCGGATTCTATTCCAGCTGCAACCCATAACTGGGAAACATCCATACACACCCATTCACACTCATACACTTCAGACAATTTAGCTTATCCCATTCACCTATACTGCATGTCTTTGCACTTCACACAGAAATGCCAACTGACCCACCCGAGGTTCAAACCAGTGACCTTCTTGCTGTGAGGCGATCGTGACGCCAAATGTTCATACATTTTTTTATTTTATTTTTTTTAATAAATTAAAACATTAAAAACTTTCATTGAGTTAAGATAATGATGACTGTTAAACACGTCATAACATGCTTGTGAAAAGGGTCCATAGTTTCAGATTATTGTATACTGTAAATTAATTTAAAACTGGCACCGGAAAATGAGATGTGAATATAAAGAATAGTGACCAATAATTAATTTGATCATTGTGGATTAAAAAAAAAATTCATATGCTGTATTTAACTTTAGCAGATAATAATCTGAAACTGAAAATGTCTTTTGATAAATCATTCATAACTTACCAATTGGAAGCCACCAGCACAACAAGAACAAAGCAAAAATGTGAACCATTTCCTTTAAGCGTGTTTGACTTTTGGAGTGTTGACTTTTGCAAGCGTGTTTGTAAAGTGTGATTATTCGCTGAAGCCCAGCTTCTTCATCTGGTCTGTGAGTCCTCCCACAACACACTCTCAGAAGTAAAGGTACAAAAGCTGTCATCGGAGTGGTACGGATTAACTTTTGCAGCTTTTAGGTGCTATTCTGTGCTTTTTAAAGACCAAAATATATTTTAAAGCGCAAATGTGTACAGATAGAGCCTTGTATAGTTTACAACCACACACTCTGAACACATGCTGTATGCAAAATCAGTAATGCAGTGACAATCTTATGTCATAATGTAATGAATCTTTTAATAATAGATTTAATAAAGGGTTTGTAATCATGCAGAGGTAATTAATGGAAAAAAAAAAACAGAGTTGAAACTGTCAGCTATCTCACTTTGTCAGAGGTGTGATTATTAGCAACTCAACGCGAGTCAAACTGAAACCTGCTGTGGTTTGATCTTCTTTAGACGCACAATAACCTCTGGTCAGGTGAATTCTGGACAAACAGACACTAAAAGATGATTTCCTGTTCATCTCTTCTAACAGAGCTATTTTTTGATAAATACCCCAGAAAGAGTCAAATAATCAAAGCTAACAGCCAATGTAAAGATTAATATTGCAAATTGTGACTTGTGTTTCTGTCTGTTTAAGTATTAAGTGAATGTTTGCTTTAATTCCTAATGACCAGTTAAAGTCACCAGTTTCAATCTGATAGCAATAGCTTAGAAATATAGAAATACGGTGTTTACATGAATCCTGTTCAGTCCAACAAACTTCATAATAATAATAATAATAATAATAATAGTAGAATAATTTGTTGCATTGTATTTAATGCTTTCTTAACGCTCAAAGCACTTTAGATGTAATGTAGTATAATAATGGTACATTAATAGCTGATTCGAAAAATAGAATCATAAATCATTTTATAAAATTCAAAAAGATTAAATAAAGCAGGTACGAATGAAAGGTATAGTTCAGTATCGTCAGCGAATATTATTATTATTATTATTTTTTTTATAAAGAGGTTTAAAGGAAAATTGAGCCCTAAGGACACGAGGCTCGTCCTCATTAACGACCTTAACACTGAAATACTACAGATCATGTCATTATACAAATGTGTGTTCTTGAAAACCACCAATCATTACTTGCACTCACATACCAATCTCATTGGTCCAATAGTATTAAATGTGACATTTAAGCTAAATAAATCAATAAAAACATTAACATTGTGTTCATTTTAAAATTCAGAATGAAACTCTGTGTGTCATGGTAATCCCTACCATGTTTTTTTAACATACCTCTTACATTTTACATTTACCTAGCAAAGTGTGATAAAAATACTTTCTTTTTCACTACTGGGTATTTGGCGCCAACACTATAAACAACCTGTTTATTTATAGCATACTTTATCATGTAAATAGCTAATGTACATTTATACACACAGTAAACTCAAATAGATTTTTTTTTTTTTTTGTGGTTACATTTCTAAGTGCTGTTGGTTAAACTTATAAATACAAACAAAATGATTACAATAAATTTATAATAATAATATTACACCAAATATGCAAGGACAAAACAAAGTAGTTTTCCCAACAGTCCAAAGACATGTGTATGGATGAATTAGGTAAACAAAATTGGCCTTTTGGAGAGTGAGAGAGTGTATGGGTGTTTCCCAGTACTGCGTTGTGGCTGGAAAGGCATCTACTGTATAAAACATATTCTGGCATAGTTTGCGGTTCATTCCACTGTGGTGACACTTGATAAATAAGAGACTAAGCCAAGGGAAAATAAATGAACGATATTTGCAACTATCTTCATTCCTTTACTTAAATTCACAACAGACTATGCAGCACCAACATATTTTTGTTCTTTTACTAATTTAATTTCTTTTTTTGTAATCTTTAAGTCACTCAAGATAAAAGCATATATCAGAAAATTTAATTTAATAGACCCTTTTCACATTTTCGTGTTTCTCAGTGGCATACTCTGTCATAGTTGGGTAAACTTAGAGTGAATGGTAAAGCACAACAAATCTTTTTTTTCTTTTTTTTTTTTTTTTTTTTACAATCCTGTTTGCTGAAATAATAATAAATAAAATAAAAACGCCACAATGGTGTTATCAAGACTATCAGAAAAAAGGAAAACTGATAACTGCAGCCAGAAGACAGAATAACATCAAATTTACTGTCCTGCCTTAGACGCTGCATTAAAAACGCCTCGCGCAAGTGGCAATTCGTTTTTTCTAGTTTGACACAAAGATGACATAATACATCCATAAATGCTCATTCAATCCATTAATATTTCTTCGGCATAGTCCCTTTATTAATCTGGGGTCATCACAGCAGAATGAACCGCCTACTTATCCTGCATATGTTTTACGCAGCGGATTCTATTCCAGCTGCAACCCATAACTGGGAAACATCCATACACACCCATTCACACTCATACACTTCAGACAATTTAGCTTAT